TTCCATAACCTATTTAACCAGCTCCATGTTGATTTTTCATTAGATTTTCCCCAACTTTTCATTATTTTAAATAGTGCCAAAATTAATGTCCTCGCTTCAATCTTTGTTTACTTGTCTAAGTCTAATTCTAGGGGAAATCTCCAGAATAATCAAATTAATGAAAACTGGTATCTTGTTCTATTTTTAATTTTTTTTAATTATTGAGAATGAATGCATGAAAGAATTCTATGGATCATTCATTCATTATTTTGCATTCCTTTAACCATTCATTTATTAAACTAATTCCAGAGGCTGCCAGACATGGGGCACTCACAGGAAGTGAGACAGTGCACAGTGAGCTGTGAAGGACGTGGCTGTAACCATTAACTTTCACTCTACACATGCTGTGTGTGCTGATACATGAGGCTCAGGCAGACTCCCAGCCCAGACTGGGAGCTTCAAGGAAGGCTTTCAAATCGATGTGACTCAGACTGAATTTTGAAAAACAAGAGTTAGCCAGCTAAAGAGGAGAGGACATTGTCACAGAAAGAGCAGCAAGCATGGGCAAGGAAAGTGTGGGGGTGTGAGAACTATTTGTGGTTCAGTGTGGCAGTCACAGTTGTGAATCGGGGAGCAGAAGGGGGCAGGACCAGGCCTGGGGAAGGCATAGGCTATGCCCAGGAGGATAGCTTTAGAGCTAAGGTTGCAGAGAACCCCTGCCCACCTCTCCCCTAAGAGCCCGAGACCTGTCAGCACATTCACTTCCCAAGGCCCAGTCAGGGCCTACCTTATTCTCCGCATGTTAGGACCTGCCCAGCCCCTGTCCGACCTCTTCACTACTCCCCACTCCCTCAGAAAGATATTTCTCTTTTCTGGCCTGTGGCCAAGAGAGCACTGAGGACAGGAACACAGAAAAATAAGTAGCTTGAGCAAGGTTGCTCAGTCAGGGACGACAAGATCAGGGACATTGGAGGGGCCTTGGTTAGTAAGGAAGAAAGGCCCCTTGGAGAGTGTGAAGGATGTTATGTCTCTGATTATCAGACACCGGGGCCTGCTGAGATTTTCCCACTGGCTACTCAGGCGTCAAGACCAGGACAAGAGCTGAGACTAACTCAATATTGAAGGATGGTCAGAATGGCCTTCTAGGTCCTCAGCAGATGCAGGAGCCTAATCATTGCCCATGGTGATGAGGTGATGGGAGTGGAGAGTCAGCATGGTCATGGAAATTTAGCTATAGGTCAGAAGAAAATATGATACAAGCTCTATTTTATTAGCTCCAGGTGGCATCTTCTGCATTCCTCCTTATCCCATGTAGTATTAAACCCAAAGTGGTGTAACATGACCCATTACCACTACCATCAATTTTATTACAATCTTTCTTACCCACCTCTGACTCTGTTACTCACCATTACAGCACCATCATCACTCAAATATCAGATACTCTTCTCCCAAATGAGGCTCCATCACCACCATCACTGCCACCAACCACCATCACCATCACCACCACCACCATCACCACCACCATCACCATCACCACCACCACCACCACCAACCACCATCACCACCACCACCACCACCACCACCACCATCATCACCACCACCACCTTCATGACTACAACCAACACCACCATCAGTGTCATCAATATAATCTTTGTCACCACCACTGCCCTCATAAACACATTTCTATTACCACTATCCTTAGCCCCATAGGCCTCAATCTTTACTTCAATCACCCCCATCACCACCATTTCTACCATCAGTATTCCCACCTCCATCACTACTACACCATGCCATCATCATACTTACCACTACAATAATTCTGTTATTACCACCATGACCGATGTAGGAAATGATTACATGGGTTATTACAATGGTCAATAGTGAAACACCAACTAAGATAGGGAGGTTAGCTGAGGTCACTCAATGCAGAGAGAGGTAAAAGAGTATGAAGTTTGCCCAGCCAGTGTGGCTCAGTGGATTGAGCATTGTCCCATGGACCAAGGGGTCCTGGTTTGATTCCCCATCAGGGCACTTGCCTGGGTTGCAGGCTTGATCCCCACTAGGGGTGTACAGGAGGCAGCTGATAGATGTTTCTCTCTCACATCGATATTTCTCTCTCCCTCTCTCTCCAAAAAGTCAATAAAAAATTTTTTTAAAAGAGTAAGAAATCCAAAACTGTAAGAAGTTCCTATTAAAGCAATTCCAAATAGAAAATTATTTATCTTAGGAACTTATTCTTCCCCAAATCCTCCAACATTTCTGGCAATATAATTTCAACTAAGGAGTTGCTGTTTTTTCAGCGCACAAGGCTTCTTCCCATTTAGTCTGGTATAAATGAAGGCCTCTCCCATCTTGGCCTCTGAGCTCAGGTTTGGATTTCCAGGTTGAAGGAGGATGAAGATAGTTGAAAATTTAATCAAAACCAGTTTTTACCTGGTGATTCAGATCTGCCTTCTGGTTAGACTCAAGGCATTTCATACCTTGCCTGTCCAGCTCCATCATCTGCCTTCACACATCATGGTCATTGTCACCACCATTCCTTGATGACATTAGAGGAGAGATGCCATATGGCTGAAGGCAGGGAATAAAATGAAGCCAGGAGTACAGTTAATGTCAAATTACTCTATAGATAGGGGGCTGCAGATTTAGATCTGGGTTTCCTAGGCACCAGTGCAAAGAGGGAGAGGTGACCACTATATGACTAGCAGATATTTTTCAGGTTAAGGCAGGAGAGAAATCCCCGTTGTGAAAACAAAGGCATTACAGCCAATGCCCAGGGTTGGTTGGCATCACTAGCTGTTGTCTCAGGCTGTGGAAAAACCACAGAGTATTCCCTTGTGGAACCACTAGATGAACCATGGAGATGAGATGGCTGTAAAACTTACCTCTCAGGAGCTGCAAAGTGTTATGGTGTTTTACATTTTTATATAAATAATATGATTATATAGTATTAAACAAGGGAAGAACCAACAAGTGGGGATAAAATGTAAGTGACAGCAAATGGGACAGGAATTGTCTCACCCTGGCACTGGTCTCCAGGGTGCCGTGGGCTTCCACCAGTTGGATAAGAGGGAGACCAGGACTGCTCAAGGGACTGCACTGAGGTGTGGGGTTCCAACAGGTTGGTGTGTTTGGGGAACTGGAGGGAAGGGGGTCTGGTTGGGAGGGGCCAGAGACAGGGTGGAGAGGAGCCAGTCTTGGGGGTCGTATGGGTCAAGCTAGGGAGTTGGACTTTCACCCTCCAGCAGTGAGAAGAGTTTTAAACCGAGACAGTCCCCTGTCACATTTGTTCTAAAATGTTCATTGTGGCAGGTGTGTGGAGAGTAGGTTGACAGGGGTGGGACTGGAGGCAGGAAGGTTTCTGTAATTGTTTTAACCCTCCTGCTAGACTGTATGCTCACTGAGGGCCAGGGTTGTATCTGAGGCATCTTTGCACCCCACAGAAAGTTTAGGTTGCACTAGAGACTCAACAAATATCTCTTACTGTTAGTTATCTCCCCGTCACCACCTCCAAATCACTGCCTTCACTCCCATGCCTATCAGCACTGCCAGGAATACACACCATGTCACTGATCAGCTCTTTTCCCAGAACTCTTTGAAGGCATCCAGCCTAGTGCAGACTGGAACATCTCCAGCTCAACCGCTGGGGTCAAAGGCCTGGGCCAGAGTCAGAGGTCCTGGTCCCCTCTGTGTGACCCCAGCAAGCCACACACCCCATTTCCTTATCTGTTCAAAGTGGGGGCTAGATTAAATTAGTAATTTCAAACTTTTTATTTTTTTTAATTTTAATTTTTTAATTTTTTTATCTTCACCCAAGGATATTTTTGCATTTATCTTCAGATAGAGCATGAGGGAGAGAGGGAGGGAGGGAAGGAGAGAGAGAGGAAGAGGGAGAGAGAGAGAGAGAGAGAGAGAGAGAGAGAAACATCAGTGTGAGAGAGACATATCTACTGGTTGCCACCCACACAACCCGAACTGAGGCCGGAGACAAACTGCAACTGAGGTACATGCCCTTAGCAGGAACCAAACCCAGGCCTCTCTGGTCTGCGGGCCGACGCTCTAACTGCTGAGCCAAACCGGCCAGGGCCATTTCAAATTTTTTAAAAAGCTTGGGCCCTTAGAAGCCTATTTGCTTAGAAATCTGGAGCCCTTGGAACACAATTTGACAACTTCTCAGCTCTGCCAACATGGCATTTGGAGAATCAGATCAGAAAAACTTGATATTGTTGGTTTCTGCTTTGCTTTTGTGGCAGGGGCTGGGAGAGAATTGAGCGGGGAAGACAGACACATCCTGTCTTAGGCGTTGCAGGTACCTATGGCAGGACCTTGGCAAACCCTTTCCTTCCCTACCCACCCCCTCAGACGTAATCTATGAAGCTCCTGAAAAGAGGGGTGGGGGCAGGCAGGAGCGACTGTGTGTATGGAAAGAGCTCCTGAGTGGAGAAGTGGGAGGGTGATGGGTCTGGATCCCCAGATTGGCCAGACTTCTCGGTGTGGTTCCAGGTGTGTCTCAGGCCAGGGCATAAGCTCCAGGTGGGGACATAAATCTGACAGGGTACAGAGAGCCCTCATGGCTCAGCATCACGAACCCTTCCCCTGGTTTTGAATCCTGGGCTGCCGGCCAAGCTGTGGTTTCAAATTGGCGAGGTTCCTAGGGTTCATAGGACAAAGGACATCCAAGGAGAACTAGCACCATGCCTGGGAGACTCCTCCTCTTAGGGAGGAGCTCTGCTGTTTCAAGGGGATATGGGTTCATTTCCTACACACCCAACTACTCATCATGGCAGCCTGATCACCATACCCCACCCATCATCATACCCAACTTGGTCCCTGATCACCACTATGTAAGTTTCAGAGCCATGGAATCAGTGACCTCTGAATGGATAGCAGCCCCTCCCTCACAGGCACTGGCTACACAGGCAGGGATCCCTGGAGACCTGGGTGGCCAGGGAAGGCCAGTCCTGAGCCAGCCCCTGAGGGCTGGATTGTGGCAGCAGACTCTCCGCCCATCAGTCTCTCTGCTCCTGCCTCCAGAGTCCAAGGGTCCATGTGGTGGGTGGACTGAGCTGTGCTGAGTAGGAGAGAGGGAGTCCACACTGGGGACAATTATTGACGGGTGGCATGGGATTCGAAGAGCTGCTAGATCAGGTGGGTGGCTTTGGGCCCTTCCAGCTGCGGAATGTGGCCCTGCTGGCCCTGCCCCGAATACTGCTGCCCATGAACTTCCTCCTGCCCATCTTCCTGACTGCTGTGCCTGCCCACCGCTGTGCCTTGCCTGGTATCCCTGCCAACTTCAGCCACCAGGACACATGGCTGGAGGCCTACCTTCCTCGGGAGCCCGATGGCATGCTCAGCTCCTGCCGCCGTTTCACCTACCCCCAGGCCCTCCCCAACACTACATTAGTTGGAGAAGGGCACAGTCCTGGGGAGCTGCAGGGTGAGCAATCCACAGAGCCCTGCCCTCAAGGCTGGGAGTACGACCACTCAGAGTTCTCCTCCACCACTGCAACTGAGGTACCTGAACCAGGAGGCTGGGGGACATGTGAGTGGGATGGGTCTGCTGTTGCCTTGAGTGATTACTCTGTGGGCATTAATTAGATGCATTACTTCTCAGAGTCTCAATTTACTCACGGCAGATAAGCTTGTAGTAAGGAGCCCATCCGTGGGAGCTGCTATTATTAATCGGGAGGTGATTGAGGCAGGGAAGGGCTCAGGTGGCTCCAGGGAGTTGGGGCTGAGTTGAGAAGGATGTTTCTGCAGTAAGAGGTGGAGAAACAATAGAGGCCTCCTTCTCTTTTTTCTTCATTTGGGCCCCAGGTCTGGGATTTACATAGTCCCTCTGGAGGTGAATGCAGGCGGGGGCAAAATCTCTCTTGGGAGGTACAGGGCTCCTGTTGTCATGGTCAAGTCCCACCCTGGGAAGAAGCTGAAGCTGCAGGACTGGGGAAGGACAGTCTCCCACCCCCAAGCTGAGGTGAATGGTTGGAGGTATATTATCTGACATGGAGGTACTAGGATGGCCCAGCTGACTTCAGAAGGCCCCAGGACAGGAGAGGAGGGATTGGTGCCAGTTGGAGAGGGGCCTGTGCCCATGGGAGGCCCTTCCTTGCCTGTTCCTGCAGTGGGACCTGGTGTGTGAGCAGAAAGGCCTGAACAAAGCCATTTCCACCTTCTTCTTCGTCGGTGTGCTGGTGGGGGCTGTGGCCTTCGGATACCTGTCTGACAGGTGGGGTAAGGTGGGGGTAATAAGGGAGTGGGGTGGGGGACCTTCTCCCACTAGCTGGGGTCTGGGCCTAGTCTACCTCTGTCTTGGGCCCTCCCCTCTACAAGGAGCCAACCCTGCATGACCCCTGTGCAGGTTTGGGCGGCGCCGTCTGCTGCTGGTGGCTTATGTCAGCGCCCTGGTGATGGGCTTAGCATCTGCAGCCTCAGTCAACTACATCATGTTTGTCATCACTCGCACCCTCACTGGTACAGCCCTGGCTGGCTTCACCATCATCGTGATGCCGCTGGGTAAGGCAGGCAAAGAATGGGCAGGGCCTAGAGGGCTGGAGGGAGGTAGTTGTTAAGGGTGAGACTGAGCTCACATGTCCCTTGCTAACTATCTTCCTGCCTCTGACTGTGGACCCAGAGTTGGAGTGGCTGGACGTGGGACACCGCACCGTGGCAGGTGTCCTGAGCAGCACCTTCTGGACAGGGGGCGTGATGCTGCTGGCGCTGGTCGGGTACCTGATACGGGACTGGCGATGGCTTCTGCTGGTTGTCACCCTGCCTTGTGTCCCAGGCATCCTCAGCCTCTGGTGAGGCCTGTGGGCGTCTGGGGAGTGAGAGGTACAAGAAGCCAAAGACAGAATTAATCAGACACCGAGATCGAGATTCCAACACAGAGACTGAGACAAAGAGAATGAGAAACAATCAGTGACCAAAAGAGAGACAGAGACCATACATGAGATGCAGAGAAACACAAAACAAAATAGAGATAGAGATGGAGGGACAGATAGAGACCAGTGAGAGATAGTGAGTGACAGAGACCAGGACTGACAGACAGGCTCAGAGGGACAGATGGAGATGGACACAAGAGAGACATGAGAGACAGAGCCAAGCACAAACCGAGGCTAGTGCCCTGGAGGGGTGGGGCTAAGAACAGGGACAGCACAGAGGTAGGAAGTCCAAGTAGGAGGGAAAGCCAGGCAGGGTGGGCACTTCATTGCCTCCCCCAAATGAATAAGCTTTGGATGACATCTCTGGGTTTGTCTGTATGTCTGTCTCTCCTTCATCCTATGCCCTCTTGTCACCTGTGGGAGACGTGGGTGGCTAGTCCTGGAGGCTGAGGTCTTGGGGGTGAGGCCAATTCAGCTGAGCAGAGAAGTAACTCCTGGGCTATGGAGAACCTAGGCCTGGGCAAAGAAGTGTGGGGAAAGCTGGCTTCTAAATTGGGCCTTAAAGAATGAATACAAGTTCATCAGGTGAGGAGGGTTGGGAAGATGTTCTAGGCTGAGGGTCTAGCCTAGGTGACAGCTTGTGGGGTGCTCAGGATGAAGACATGGCTTAGGGTGCTGACTGACTGAAGGGCCTCCTGCTGTCCCCCACAGGTGGGTGCCTGAGTCTGCACGCTGGCTTCTAACTCAGGGCCGTGTGGAGGAGGCCCACAGGTACCTGCTCTGCTGTGCCAGGCTCAATGGGCGGCCTGTGGGTGCGGATGGCCTGAGCCTGGAGGTGAGCGTGAATGTGTGTGAGTGCCTGCAAGTACATGTGTGTGCGCGGCCTGTGTCAAGTACTCCCTTCCTGGGGCCCACTGTGTGTAGGAAAAGCTCCTGGCTGGAATTGGTGGGCCACACCCTTGACTTCACTTACCCTACTCAGCTCCCATGTGTATCCCTCCCCTCTAGTGCAGAAGGGAGGAGGAGAGACTCAGAGAGAGCCATGTGCCTTGCTAAGGCCAAGGCCACACAGTCAACTCCAAGTCACAAACTCTCCTCCTCGACTAGGCCCTGAGCAAAGTGGCAGCTGCAGAGCAGGTGGTTCGGAGACCGTCCTACCTAGACCTGTTTCGAACACCGCGGCTCCGACACATCTCACTGTGCTGCATGGTGATGTGGTGAGGAGGGGGCTGGCCTAGTGGGGTGTGGGTGGGTGCAGAGGGAGGGGCCAACTCCAGAATGCTGCCAAGCATACAGGAAACTGGACAAGTAAATTGTAACTGTGGAGGGCTGGGTGGAGGTGGAGAGTGGGGGTGGAGGGTGGAGGGGTGGGGGATGGGGCTTGGGAAGGTCAGAAGATGGAGCAGGCATCAGAGCCACCTGGGCTTTTCCACTTCCTCACAGTGAGACCCTGGACAGGCGTTCCTTCTGTAAAATGGGATTCTGTTAGTTCCTACCTACCTCACAGGGTTGCTGTGAAGATTAGGCAAAGGTGCCTTGGGCACAAGCGGAGGTGGTCTCTCTAAAAGGCCAAGGCTTGTCCTCCCCGAGAAGACAGGTGGGTGGGAAGGAGGCCCCTGAGTAGTATTGTGACCCCTCTCAGGTTTGGAGTGAACTTCTCCTATTACGGCCTGAGCCTGGACGTGTCAGGACTGGGGCTGAACGTGTACCAGACGCAACTGCTGTTTGGGGCTGTGGAGATGCCCTCCAAGCTGCTGGTCTATCTGTCGGTGCGCCACGCTGGTCGCCGCCTCACACAGGCAGGAACGCTGCTGGGCAGTGGCCTCTGCTTCGGCCTCAGGCTGCTGGTGTCCACCGGTGAGCATTGCCCTGGGCCCCCCCGACTCCTGCCTCCTGGCCAAGACCCCTGCCCCCACACTGTCCTTTCCCCAGAAACCTCAACTCAAGGCCAATTAGGTCCCACCCTCTCTGGAGACCACTTCGTATCCTGGGAGCCTCAGGGCCGGAACCCCTTTTTCTCCAGAGATGGTGTCCTGGAGCACCGCCCTGGCAGTGATGGGGAAAGGTTTTTCTGAAGCTGCCTTCACCACTGCCTACCTGTTCACCTCGGAGTTGTACCCTACCGTGCTCAGGTGAGGGGAGCCTGAATCCCAGGCAACCCTGGGGATAGGGTCTGTTAGTCTCATCTCTTACCAACACCCACACATACACCCAACACACTGTAAGTCCCTCTCATCCATTCCTTGCACCACACTCGGAATACAGAGTTAATCAGAGTCTCCGTTGGCCTCAATCTGGCAGAAGGCCCGGCATTTTCTCTTCTTCACTAAGTGACCCTAAAGAGAAGTCAGACAACTTTTCTGGGCCTCCTTTAAAAGAAAATAGTGGCAAAAAGCACCGTCTGCCCATCCCGCCCATCTCCCCACAGCCCAGACAGCGCTGCCCTTGGGAATTGTCTGTGGACATAAGGCCTGAGGCCTTTTCAACTAGCTACTGACAGGTGAGGAGGACACCTGCAGGCATCTGAGTGTGATTAGAAAGCCTTGCACCTCTTCTAACAACATGACAAAGTCTGTATGAGCTGCTGACCCTCTTCCTTCCACACTACTCTTTCCTCATTCCCTTTCTGGTGACATTTCTTTTCCTTCAGTGACATCTGATTGGTACTCTGTCAGAACAGGGGCCCCATCCTCTGGTGGGTGTTGGCTTGGGGGATCCTGGCCAGGGGGTGGGAGGGAAGACCACTTGAAAGAAGCCTCAGCTTTCTTAGCTGTCTGAGGAAGAAAGGGGGTATTATGAGGCATGACCCCAAGTAGCTATGAGCACCAACCCCTTCCCCCATCCTTTCTCTGAACAGACAGACAGGGATGGGGCTGACTGCACTGGTGGGCCGGCTGGGCGGCTCTTTGGCCCCATTGGCAGCCTTGCTGGATGGAGTATGGTTGTCACTGCCCAAGCTCACTTATGGGGGGACTGCCCTACTGGCTGCCTGCACTGCTCTCCTGCTGCCAGAGACAAGGCGGGCACAACTGCCAGAGACCATCGAAGACGTGGAGAGGAAGAGGTGTGTGCACTTGTATGTGGGCATGGATGCTCAGGTACCTGACACCTTAGGTAGGATTCAGAGGAAGACATGTCTGTATCTGGTGCATATATGCAAGTATGCACAGGTGCTTGACCTGAAGTATGTAAACTGCATGTATAAAAGTGTACATGAGTGTATATTCACATGCGTGCGTGTACAAAAATACCCAAGATTGTCCAGGAAGAGGTGGATGTGTGCACACTCAGGCATGCCTGCACATCAGGGATGTGTACAAGTATGTGTGTAAGTCCCTTGTGGGAGTACATGTTTTATATGCCAGGAGTTGGGGAAGCCCTAGGCCAGCACTATTGGAGCAGACTGGGGTGGTAGGCTCGGGGGCTAAACCCCACCATTACTCATGACTCCTTCCCTCCTCAGTGCTCCATCCAGCCTTCAGGAGGAACGGATGCCCATGAAGCAGGTCCACGACTGAGTGGTTTCAAGAGCAGCCCTCCACAGATATTCTGCATCAAGGGCTGGGAGAGCAGAAAGGCAGGTCCTATGACCAGGGCTGGGGACACTGAGCCCCCAACTCCAGCCTGGATTTGCCACCAATGTCCCTCTCTGTGCTCATCCAACTTCTAGCAGCAGAGTAACTTCCCAGAATGCTGGAGAACTCAGGCACCTCTCTCTTGGCTGGGGGGATTCTGTAAATAAAGCTTCCCCTTAAATTGAGATGGAGATATGGGAAGAGCCCTGAATGGGAAGCCACTGAGTCTGGTGCTGGCTTCTAGTCTCAGCTTTGCCAATGATTTGCTATTTGACCTTGGGCACGTGGCTTTCCCTTTTTGAACCTCAGTCTGTTCATTTCTCAAATGGATCTATCCTCACCACAGGATCTATCTGTTGTCATGCTCAATGAGATGTTGAATAAGGTGCTTCTTCTAGAGATGGTGCTAAAGAAGGCACTGCCCTATGATGACTTCTGTGGGCATGCTGTTCACTGTGTGGTGCTGGGGCCTTCCCAATGCCAGGGCCAGGGGACCAGGAGAACAGAGGTCTTTGTTCCATGGCTGACTTTGCTACCTCCCTGGTACTTTGCTGGGTAATGCATCTCCCACCCCCATATTCCCCACCATCCACCCCATTGTATAGGTCTCATGCCCAAAGAAGAGTTGAAGGCATGGGAGCCAACATTTTATTGGAGAAGCCAGAATAAACACACCATTTTATGAGTACCTTTAAGTTACAGAATTTGCTGGGGAAAGGAACCAGGAAGGACAAGAGGCCACCATTCAAAATGGGGTGGACCAGTTCTCCTGGGCAGATAAGAATGCGAAAGGGAGAAGTTAGCAGAGAAAATCTAGAATTTCTGGTTTACTATGGAGCTGATGTCTAGGCTGCCAGAATCCCACCTTCCCCTACCTCGATGGGACTGAAAAATTCTATAGCTTCCATTGGACCATGGAGGGGATGATGAGAGGTCCAAGTTAGGATGATTTCTTCTGTAAGCATCTTATTTGGATTTTATCTCCACAGGGTCATAGATGTAGCAGCCCACATCACCAATATTCACACCTGAGGGAGAGAGCCCCATCATCCAGGGTCTTGGGGCTGGGGGGTATTGGGCCAAGGGCTGGAGGGAACTGGGAAGGACCTGGGATTTATCTGAGTAGAGGGAAGTTGTCCACACATCCCCACAGACCCACGTGCCATACTTTAGGCCCAGTGTCTAGGGTGGGGCTGCCCACCTTTGGGGCCAAACAGGTAGCCGTAGCAGGGGATGTGGCAGTAGGGGACGCCGTCATGCTGGGACACAGAGAGAAAGAGAGCACTCTCAGCTTGGCTTTTTACCTATCTCCAGCCTCTCTCCTCCCAGCATAACCATCCATCTCTTCCCTGCTCACCTCAGCATGACTCCCAGCAGTCAGGGTCTTCCGGCAGCGCTGGCACCTCAAACAGGGTCGGTGCCAATTTCTGCCCAAAGACATCACCTTCTCAGCTGGCGGTGGAGAGAGGTAGTAGCCCTAGGGGCAGGGCAGGGAGACCCACCTGCCTTGCACCACCTCCCTGCCCTTTGATGCCCACCTTGCACTCCCCTCCTGCGCTTTCCCTTGTCACTTACCAAAATAGACAGGTTCCTCACAGCCGGGGCACAGCGAGGTCTCCCCGGTGAACGTCTTCACATGGGAAGGGCCTTTAAGGGGAAGAGGCCCTGGCTAGGGCTGAGGTGGGGGCCAGGCCTAAGTAGGGCCCTCTAACACCAGCCTGCATTTGGTACTGTCCTCTTCCAAAAGTCATGCTTATCCCAGACTCCCACTCAGGTGGACATACATATGCCTTCCTCAGACAGAGCTGAGTCCCCTCTGACCCCACCTCCTGTCCCATCTCTATCTGCAGGAGGGACCACCTGCTTCCTTCTCGTCCTCCTAGGGGTTCAGGTGCCCATGCCCACCAGCCCAACCCTGTCAGCAACTCAATCCTCAGGAAACCTGAGCTGATATAGGAGCTGGCCAGGGCAGGGGTGTCAGGTGTTTGGGGAGCACAGTGTCATTGCCCACTGCAGGGGACAGGAGAACAAAACAGGGAGAGGAAAGAAGAGGAAGAATGTGAGGAGCTGGCCCCATCTCAATGACTACTCATTTCATAAGTCATTCCTTCTATGGCTTTGGCCTGGAAGAGGCCTGAGTTCCAGGCCAGCTTTGCCTCTGACTAGCTGTGACTTCACAAGGTCACTTGCCCTCTCTGACCTCAGTTTCCTGTAAAATGAGGGTGGTAATGCCATATGCCCACTTTACCTCTGAACTCAGCAGCTGACATGAGAGAACAAAAAAAGGGTCTCGGATAACAGAAGATTTTTGCCATGAACAAAGTTGTAGAAATGTAAGGCAGAGGACTCCGTGAGAGACTGCCACCTGGTCCCACCCCCTGTGCCAGCCTGGGAAGGGTCAGGAGGAGGGGTAGCTGGGGCTCAGCCTCACTTACTTTTCTTGCCTCGGGGGAGGCCAGTCCTGGGCCTTGGGGGGCTGAAGCTGCTGGGGTTGAGGGGAGTGGTGTTGGCAGGGGTAGGAATGGGAGAGTTGTAGAGGTAGGAGCCCACACCACCAATGTTCACCCCTGCAGAGAGAAGAGGGGAGGTCCGGCTTGAGTTTCCAGCTCCCTGCCACAGGGAGGGTTTTTGCTGCCTTCTCCCCTTCCAGGCTGTTACTTACCCCTGGGTCCGAAGAGAACCCCATAGCATGGCTTGTGGCAATATGGCCTCCCATTGTGCTAGGCACAAGCAGAAGAAAGGGGGTTGCTCAGGGATAAGGGGGCTTCTCCTGTGCCCCACAAGCCTTCCCCCCAAACAGGCTGTCAGGTGTGTCTGTCCACTGGCCTGGCCTGGTGGGGTTGGGAGGAGTCAGGGTGGGCTGGCATGCCAGAATTGCCACTGTGGTCAGGGAAAATGGGCAAGAGCAGGTCAGGAAGCAGTGCTGCTGCATTCTCCTCCCCCTCAAGTGTCACAGGGCTCACCAGCACAACTCAGGGTCCCCAAATCCTGGTTGGTGTGGGGCCCACCCTGTAAGTGGTCTTAGAAGTTGGCTACTAAGGTTGCCTTTGGTGAACCTCCAGGGTCGCAGTGGGGCTGGTACCTAGGGGACAGTGACAGACACTGGGCTGTGTGCCCTGGCCAGGTCTCACCTCTGCATGCCCTCCTGGGGACAGGACACTATTGCAGTGCTCACATTTCAGGCAGAAGCGGTGCCAGTTCTTGCCCAGGGAGCTCACCTTCTCTGCTGTAGGGAAGAAGGTGGGACCAGGCTGGCTTCTGGGCACCCCCCTTACCATCCTCAGGCCTGTCCTACTTCCCTCAGAGGGTGGGGTGTCTCCAGGAGGCCAGCTCCATCCCGCCAGAGTGCCAAGCCCCACAGGTAGAAGCGGGGGGGTCTAGGATTACACCCGCGCCAGCACTCGCCCAGTCTTCTCCCGCTTGTCAGCCCAGGCCTCACCGAAGAAAACGGGTTGCTGGCAACGTGGGCAGGTCCAACTCATGGCTCCGCTCAGGGCTCGAGGCAGCTGGTGCGGCACACAGTAGGCACCCCTGCAGGGACTATGTTCCTGCCTCAGGGACTCCGTTCCCGCCCCCTCTACTGGCTGACTCCACCCATGGCTCAGCTTTGAGCCTCATTGGGCTAAATCCACTATTCGAGGAAGCCCATTAGCTGCCAGAAATTTAGCACTACTCCACCTGGGGGACGCAGGCGACTTCGCAATTAGTTCCAAACACTAAAGCCTCTGACAGTCGCAGAGGTGAGAGGTCCTGAAGCCAGACTGGGAGGACGGGGAGCAATGAAGACACCCAGAAGGGTGGCCCTAGTTTCTGGTTTGGTACCGAGAGGGAAAATGCCTAGAGTGTAGACACCATGAAAGCACTATTATTTCAAACCCAAAGCAAGGGGTTAGGCAAGGAAATCTGGAGCCCATCTCTGTTACTACTCTTTGGCTTCAGGCAAATTACTTAAGCTTCCTCTGCCTCCATTCTATACAATGCTATAATGATAAGTCCCTACCTCATAGGAGACACGAGATGTGAGAATCAGATAAGTTAATACATGCAGAGTGGTCAAACAGCACCTGGCATATAAATGCTATAAAAGCAACAGATACCATAATGAACTCAAGACTCTTAGTTTGGAATCCTCAAAGCATAGTCTGCAAACAATGGTTTGTTTGTAAAATTATAATGCTTACTAAATTTAAACATATAATTCAGACACCAATTACATATTCCTAATTCAGTTTGTTTTAAAATTTATTAAAAGTAGCTCAGCAGTGCTTCAAAGGGCACTTCAAAAACTCAAACTCACAGAACGTGAGAAAAACATTTGCAAACATGTATTTGGTAAGGGTCTAGTAACCCGAATATATAAAGGACTGTTACAACTCAATAATAAAAAGACAACCCAATTAAAAGATGAGCAAATAATTTGAATAGACATTTTTCCTAAAGAATATATTCAAATGACCAACAAGCACATGACAAGATGCTCAACATCATTAGTCATTAGGGAAATAAAAATCAGAACCACAATGAGATACCATTTTATACCTATTAGAATGACTATAATAAAAAAAAAAGTGAGTAATAAATGTTAGTGAGGATGTGGAAAAACAGGATCCTTCATACATTGTTGTTGAGGGGAATGTAAAACAGTACAGCCCTTTGAAAAGTCTGGCAATTCCTCAAAGAGTTAAACATACAGTTACTATACGACCCATTAACTGCACTCCTAGGTATATACTCAAGAGAAATGACAGCATTTTCCCACATAAAAACTTGTACATGAATGTTCACAGTACTTCTATTCACAATAGCTAAAAGGTGGAAACAACCCAACTAATAAACAAAATGTGGTATAACCATAACAGATTATCAATCAGCCATAAAAAGGAATGAAGATGCACTGATGCATGCTAAAACATGAACCATACATTGTTAAGTCAAAGAATCCAGACACATACCAGCACATATTTTATGATTCCATTGATATGAAATGTCTAGAATAGGAAAATCCATAAAGACAGAGATTAGTGGTTGCTCATGGTTTGGGGGAGGGGCAATTGTGATTATCTGCTAATGAGTATGTCTTTTTTTTTTAATCCTCACCTGAGGACATTTTTCCATTTTTGCTCAGACAGAGTGGGAGGGAGAGAGAGGAAGAGGGAGAGAGAGAAACATTGACGTGAAAGGAACACATCGAGTGGCTGCCTCCTGCACAACCCCAACCAGGGCTGGGGACAAACTGCAATCGAGGTATGTGCCCTTAGCAGGAACCGAACCCGGGTCTCTGGACCACGGGCCGACACTCTAACCACTGAGCCAAACTGGCCAGGGCAGTATGAGGTCTCTTTACAGTGAGATGAAAATGATCTGGAATTAGTGGTGATGGTTGCACAAACTTGCGAACATACTAAAAAAAAATCAATAAATTGTACACCCCAAAGGGTGAATTTTATGGTATGTGAATGTCTCAGTATAATATAATGTCTCAATAATAATGATGATAACAAGAATAATGCCTGAAGTGAAAAACTTTTTATTTTTATTTATTTATTTTTGGTACATGCCCCTAGTGGGAACCAAACCCAGTACTCTGTGGTCCGCAGGTCGACATTCCAACCACTGAGCCAAACCGGCCAGGGATGAACTGCTTTTTTAAAAAATAGCCTAGCAAATGAGGGACAGGAGAGGGAGCTGATTACCTTGTGCCCCAGCAGAGCAGACAACCCCTTGATGAAATATCATGGTAAAATGAAGATTTTTCTGAAGTTTCTGTTTTATTTTTTATTATTATTTTTTATCCTCACCCAAGGACATTTTTCCATTTTTTCTTCAGATAGAGCGGGAGGGAAAGAGAGGAAGAGAGAGAGAGTGAAACATCGATGTGAAAGGGACACATCGAGTGGCTGCCACCCGCACGACCAACCAGGGCTGGGGACAGACTGCAACTGTGGTACGTGCCCTTAGCGGGAACCAAACCCGGGTCTCTCTGGACCGCAGGCCGACGTTCTAACTGCCGAGCCAAACCGGCCAGGGCTATTTTCTACTTTTTAAGATACGTTTTTATTGATTTTATAGGAAGAGTTGGAAACATTGATGTGAGACAGAAACATTGATCAACTTTCTCCTGCACACCCCTTACTGGGGAACGAGCCCAAAATCTAGGCATGTGCTCTGGGAATCGAACTGGGACCTCTCAGTCCATGGGATGACGCTCAGTCCTCTAAGCCACACCAGCTGGGAAGTTCCTCTGTTTTTTTTGTTGTTGTTGTTTTTTTTAAAAATGTGATTTTATTGATTTTAGAGGGAGAGAGAAATGGGGGGGGGGTGGAGAAAGAGGGAAATATCAATGTACCAGCTGCCTCCCATATGCACCCCAACCAGGGATCAAAACCACAACCTGGGTAATGTGTCCTGTCCAGGAATTGAACCAGAAACTCTTTGGTGTATAGGACAATGTTCAAACAACTGAATCATACCAGCTAGGGCTAAGTTCCTCTGTTTTGTGAAGTCAGTTCAGAAATGCTGAAGGGGTAGGGGGTGTGTGTGTGTGTGTGTGTGAGTACATGCACTAAACTCATCATTGGGCTACAGAGCTGTGCCCTGCTGGGTGACAGGAGTCCTATTTGTGTCTGGAATCCAACACCCTCTCTGAAATTCAGTCTCTTCAATTGGGCAATGGGGATAGGACTGGTGTCTATGAACTTCCACTTAACACTCCTGTCTCCCTCACTTGTCTTCATCAGTACTTTTTGCTCATAACAACACTTGTTTTATCCTCTGTTGATTTCTAAACATAGAAGGCTTACACACTGTTAAAGAAACTTGTCTACACATTCTCATTATTTGTTTCTTGTTTTGGGGACTATTTCAAGATCCTTAGATTTATAACTGTTCCTTGAAGAGCTTCTTCTTTAACAAACTTGAAAAATATTACAGTTTTAGTCTCCACTGATATTTTACTCTCATGTTTGTTTCTTCTTGAAGAAGGCCACTCGAGGTACATTGCCTTTGCTCTTTATGGAACTAATGGAGAAGGTCCCCCTTCAGGAGGTTGGGAGAACTTGTATTTATTCTTCGATATGCTGTCTCCTTTAGGAAGGGCTAGCTTCATCTGCCCAAGGATTCATTCTCAGCATTTCCAGGGCACATCAGATAATCCTTTTCTAAGACTCTCTAGCTCTTTCTGATTTGGATCACACTGTATGCATGCCTCAGCCTCCTAGACAGGTCATCTTTACCCTAGCATCCAGAACAGGGCCCCACTAGAAGAAACAGGTATCAAAGTTGAGTATCATGCTGCTTTTACACAACTTACAATTTTAGTGGGGCAAATTCTTTACTGCTCCCCATCTTCTGTGGCATTCCTGTATTGTATGTCATCACAAACATAGTATGCCTCGCCCTGGCTGGTCTGGCTCAGCAGGTAGAGCATCAGCCTGTGGACTAAAGAGTCCGGGGTTTGATTCCAGCCAAGGGCACGTACCTCAGTTGCAGTTCATCCCCGGCCAGGGTCACGCTGATGGCAACCAATCGATGTGTCTCTCTCACATTAATGTTTCTCTCTCTCTTTCTCTCTCTCTCCCTCCCACTCTGTCTGAAGATATATGTAAAAATATCCTCGGGTGAGGATTAAAAAAAACAAAACAAAACATAGTATGCCTCCTCTCTTCTATTTCACTGCTTAGGAAAGGGTAGTTGAGGCTCCCCCTTTCCAAATATTTGCCATCTATTTGTAGGTACAGCAAATCACAGTATTCCACTCTTCTTCCTTGTCTGGTTTCCATTATTCTGACTCTAAAAGAAGCTTTGTAAAGAATGCTTATATGGGCATTCTCCCTCTTGGTGCCCATGCCCTTCTTCCATCTCAGGCGTGCATCTCCTAAACTCTAAGGGTCCGCACAACTTGCAGTGGAGCAATGGGCAGCAGCAGCTCATCCTGGGATAACCTCCTGAACTTGTCCTCCAAGGCCCCTTTTCTCTGACTTTCCAGTGAGCCAAAGCAGCCCTGTTTAGGCTCTCTCCTGTTGCTTCTTCTATCCTAAGCCCTTCCTTGTTTCACTATCCCCAGCTTTAATAAACATACTTTAAAAAAAAAAAAAAAAGAATGCTAATAAGAAAAATTAACATTTCTTGTTGGAATGTATTTGCAGTTACTGGCAGTGGCTATTTTGAATATCTAAAATGATATTATAACAAAAACCACAAGTAGGTAAGTCCAGTTGAGTGTACGTACAGTAGTCCCCCTTATCCGCAGGGGATATGTTCCAAAACCCCCAGTGCATGCCTGAAACCATAGATAGTACTGAACCTTGTATATACTGTGTCTTTTCCTATACATAATTACCTATGATAAGGTTTAATTTATAAATTAGACACAGTAAGATACTAACAATAATTAATAGAACAATTATAACAATAGAAGCAAAATAAAGATTACTTGAACACATGCACTATGATACAACAGTTAATCTGATAACCAAGATAGTTACTAAGTGACTAATAGACAGGTAGCGTATACAGCATGGGTATGCTGGAGAAACGGATGGTTCATATCCTAGTGGGATGAAGTGGGACTACGTGAGATTTCACCGCTACTTAGAACAGTTCACAATTTAAAACTTAAGAATTGTTTATTTCTGGAATTTTCCATTTACTAGTTCAGACTGCCACAGTTGACTGCAGGTAACTGAAACCGCTGACTACTGTATTACCTGCTCAACTGTCAGGGTGCAGGTTATGTCATCCCCTATGAGGCAGGCCCCTCTTTCATAAATTTGAATTTTCCCTTGGTGTCCATCACTCTCTGCTCTTTCCTGCACAGAGCTGTCACAGCATCTGTAAATGTTATGTTACACTTATTTACTTCTCTTCCTTTAATTGCCAGGGCTGACAGACTAATCTGTGTATCTGTAGAACTAGTATAGTGTGGATACTCAGTAAATGATCATTGTTGTTATTCTTATTGAAATCTACCACTAACACTTTTTTTTTTTAATCCTCACCTGAGGACATTTTTCCATTTTTTGTTTAGACAGAGTGGGAGGGAGAGAGAGGAAGAGAGAGAGAGAGAGAAACATCGACATATCGAGTGGCTGCCACCCGCACAACCAACTAGGGCCAGGGACAAACTGCAACCAAGGTATGTGCCCTTAGGGGGAACCAAACCCGGGCCTCTCTAGACCGCAGGCCAACGCTCTAACAGCTGAGCCAAACTAGCCAGGGCCCACTAACACTTTTTACTTCATGTTTTTAAGCTCTATTATTAGGTAGATGTGTATTTTAAGGATTGTGTTTTCCTGAGGAGTCGATCCCTTGTTGTTGTTAGGCAAGAAAAAAGCTTTTCAACTCTAGGTGAGTGGTGGTGGGTATGAGTACTTCAAACACCTGGAGGGTTATCACATGCAAGAGGCATTAGGGGCACTACCAAAACCCCTAGCTAGAGGGGTCAGTAGAAAAATACAGAAGAGCAGATATGGATTCAGTAAAAAAAAAAAAAAAGGAACTTTTTGACTTCCAGTCAAGATGGCAGTGTAGGTAAATGCGGTATCGCCTCCTCCTACAACCAAAATTACAACTAAATTACAAATTTAGTTGTAATCAAAATTACAACTAAACTACAGAACAAACATCCTTCAGAATCACCTGAAATCAAGCTGAATGGAAGACCTACAACTATGAAATTAAGCAGCAGCCACATCGAGATTGGTAGAAGGGGCGAAGGTGCAGACAGGCTGGTCCCACACCCATGTGTGGTGGATAAAAATCTGGAGAGATAACTTGGCTGTGAAGATTCTTCCTGAGGAGTGAGGGGTCCCCGTCCCACACTAGGCTCCCATCTCAGTGTTCCAGTGCCAGGAAGAGAAGTCCCCATATCTGGCTGTAAAAACCAGCGCAAACTGAGGCTGAGGGAGGCTGCTGGAGCCCCAGGGAGCTCCTCTTAAAGGGTCCACACAAGGACTCACTTGGACTCACACCCTCCAGGCTCCAGCATGGGGGAGGCAGCTTGAAAGGCACCAGAGACATATGGGGAAGAATTGAGTTGTTTGGCATCTGGGCGAGGACTGGAGAGGCAGCTTTCTCCTGGACAGACATGCTGGTGGAGGCTGTTGTTCCTTTGGTGAGCCCTTCCCCTACAAGGCTGGCAGACCGCAGCCATATCTAGAACTCCAGCAACCTGGCTCATATTCTATGCCCCTCCCTAGTGACCTGTTGATTCCCTGAGGCCCTGCCCCACCTAACTTTCAGGCTGTTTCCAGTGGCTTTACCATAGGATTGGCCTGTTTGGGCTCCTGCTTCAGATTTTCCTAAATTCTCTCAAACAAGCAGCATCTGGCCACAGCGAGCCCCATACCTCTCGCTAAGAGGCCCCAGGCCTGGCACTAAAAGCAGCCAGCCTTGGTTCACAATTTGCCTTCGCCTGGGCACCTCCAAACCCAGCACAAGCAGCAGTTATCCACAGATCGCTTTGTAGCTTATGTCTGGTGGTCCCAGGTATAACACAGGCAGTGGCTGACCTTGTCCCAGAGCCACACACCCAGTGGACAGCTTCAGACCACGTTGAAGCACCACCACCAACCACCTCCACAAGTGACACACTCAAGGAGTGAACTCGGTGGGTACCAGAACACTGCTGAAGTAAGTCTTGCTCTGTGTGGTGGGCACCTGAACAGCTGATCATCCAAGGTAGTCAGAGGTCAGTGATTAGTAGGTATAGCCAGTCCTTGCAGCTAATCTGCCTGAGTAAATCCCTCCCATTGACGTGCCATCAGCAATCAAGACTCAATTATAGCAAAAGACTGTAAAGTCCACATGAGGGGTGCACCTTGAGGGCACAGCTGGGGTGATCAGGGAGGCTGTGCCACTGGACCCTACAAGACACCTACTACAACAGGCCACCCTAGGAAGCCTAGGAGACATAGAAACTCTACCTAATACATAGACACAAACACAAGGAGGCAGCCAAAATGAGAAGACAAAGAAACATGTCCCAAATGAAAGAACAGAACAAAACTCCAAGAAAAAAACTAAATGAAATGGAGATAAGCAATTTAACAGATGCAGAGTTCAAAACACTGGTTATAAGGATGCTCAAGGAACTTAGTGAGGACCTCAAGAGCATAATAAAGGACCAGTCAGAAATGAAGGATGCACTAACTGAAATAAAGAATAATTTACAGGGAATCAATAGTAGAGTAGGTAAAGCCAAGAAGCAAACCATCGATTTGGAATATACAGAAGCAAAAAATACCCAATCAGAACAGCAAAAAGAAAAAATAATCCAAAAAATGAGGATGGTATAAGGAGCCTGTGAGACAACTTCAAGCATACCAACATTTGCATCATGGGAGTGCCAGAAAGAGAAGAGAGAGGGCAAGAAATTGAAAACCTATTTGAAACAATAATGACAGAAAACTTCCCTAACTTGGTTAAGGAAATAGACATACAAATCCAGGAAGCACAGAGAGTCCCAAACAAGATGAACCTAAAGAGGTCCACACCAGGACACATCATCATCAAAATGCAAAAGGTTAAAGACAAAGAGAGAATCTTAAAAGCAGCAAGAGAAAAGCAGTTAGTTACCTACAGTGGAGCTCCCATAGGCTGAAAGCCGATTTCTCAAAAGAAACTTTGCAGGCCAGGAGGGAGTGGCAAGAAATATTTAAAGTGATGAAAAGCAGGGACCTACAACTCTATCCTGCAAAGCTATCATTTAGAATTGATGGCCATATAGAGTTTCCCAGACAAAAAAAGCTAAAGGAGTTCATCACCACCAAACCAGTATTATATAAAATGTTGATGGATCTTCTTGAAGAAGAAGATAAAAAAATATGAACAATAAAATGGCAATAAATACATATCTATCAACAATTGAGTCTACAAGCAAAATGAGCAAGCAGAAACAGAAACAGACTCATAGATACAGAGAACTTTTTGTTGGTTGTCAGATGGGAGGGGAGTTGAGTGAAAAAGATGAAAGGATTAGGAAGTACAGATTGGTTGTTAGACTGATGAACCTCAAAGGGAAGGGGGGATGTGGGGTGGAAAGAGAGAAACCAAAGAATTGATATGCACATATGCATAACCAATGGACACAGACAATAGTGTGGGGAAAGCAGGAGGGGGCTGAGATTGGGAAGGAGGGAGTCAAGGGTGTAAAAAGAGGGACATATGTAATACATTTAACAATAAAGATGTTAAAAAAAAAAAAAAAAAGGAACTTTTTAATAGAGCCCAAACATGGAGTGACTGCTTCAGACAGCAGTGAGCTTCCTGTCTCTGGATGTTATAAGTAACACTGGACAATAAACCAACTGATCATCAGTGTTGCAGAAGGGATGCAAGATAGACAGACCTTTAAGGTTTTGTCACAATTTGACAATATATAATTTTGTAATTCCATTCCCAAAGAGGAGTTTGAAATTTGTATTAGCAAGAAAGCATTGCTAAAACAGTGACAGCTACCATCTATGGAGTGCCAGTTATAGGCACTGTTCTTGTTATTTCTGACCCTGTAACAACCAGATGAGGGAGTTAAATGTTACATTACCAACTGTACAGTAAACAAAAGTAGCTTGGAAAAGTTTAAAAATTTGTTCAATATCATATAGACCCAAGCATTCTGATTCTAGAGCTCATACTCTTTCCACTCTATGCTCCTAAGCATGGTCTCTGCTATAACCTGCCCATGTGTTTCAGTCTGAAAGGATACTATACTGGTCTGCTCAGAGCAGCTATACCTGAAGAGGGATTATCCTGGTAAATAATATAATTAAAACTTTTCCATGGCTCCTTAGTGCCCTCAAGATAAAGTTTTTAACTTGGTTCCAGCGTTCTACACCTTTTCAGTCTTCTAGTCATTTCTCCTGGTGCATCAACCCCTCCAAGCAGACTAAATGAGCTGCTAAAGCTTTTCCTGCCTCAGGGCCTTTGTAAATGCTTCCCCAGTATCGTCACCTCACTAATTCTGCCTAACTTCAGCTCCTCCTCATCTACTCAGTAACAGGCTTTTGGCCCCAGGCACTCTTTCATTTAGCATCCTATGCTGGAGCATAGAGGGAGTACAACCTAGTGACAGTTGCGATTTCCCTGAGTGCTGAACCAAATGTGGAAAATAAAGCAAATGGAGACCCACGATAAAAGGCTAGGTTTGTAGCTTAATAGGAAAATAAAACAGGTCTGCCAACTTCCTGTCTGCCACCTCCCTCCATCCCCAGTCTAGGTTTTGTCTACTCCATTAATCTATGTGTTCCACGAGGGCAGGAACCAGGACAGCTTTGCCAACCACTGTGTATGCTTCCTATGCCTTGTTCAATCTCTGAAGCCCAGTGTTCAATAAATACTTGTTGGTGAATGAATGTTAAATGTTATACACAAGTTTCACTCAAGTGTGAGTAGATGAGGGCTAATGGGATAAATGTGGGATTAGGAGGGGATGAGTAGGGGTTGAGAGGTTTGTTATAACAAAAGCCCTGGAGTAAGAGAAACTCAGCTGCTTAGGAGTAAGGACACAAGAGTTTATTTCTTAATATACATAAGGATCTACAAGTATATTTTTTAAACTGATTCTGTTTATAAATATTAGGTAACTAATAAAGTATAAATAAACTGAAAATTTGCTTTGCCAGGAAACCAGCCCCATTAACTACAGTAACTAACAAGAACTTACTAATTAAGCTTAATTAGCAGGTAGAACAATCATGTCTATCACTAAAATACATAGCAAATGAGAATGTGGGGAAGTGTCATGTAAACTGTAAAGCACCTTACAAATATGGCTGCTAATTATGTCAGGTTAGCATTGCAGTGAGTTTTGATAACAACTATAAATTCTGCTAATTTTATATATATCTAGACTTGTTGAAGTACATGGCCATATGCTTGTGACTTGTAATAAATTATCAAAAACTTCGTTTCTCTTTATAGTGTCTCTTAACTTTTATTACCCATAACCCTTATACTCTCTCTCCATCTTCTGAATATACCAACTAGAAAGCTTTACTTTCTGTAGTTTATATTACTTTAAAAATAAAAATAAAAATAGCCCTGGCCGGTTTGGCTCAGTGGTTAGAGCGTCGGCCTGTGGTCCAGAGAGGCCCGGGTTCAGTTCCAGCTAAGGGCACGTACCTCGGTTGCAGTGTGTCCCCGGCCCTGGTTGGGTCATGTGGGTAGCAACCACTCGATATGTCCCTTTCACGTCGATGTTTCTCTCTCTCTCTCTTCCTCTCTCTCCCTCCCACTCTATCTAAACAAAAAATGGAAAAATGTCCTCGGGTGAGGATAAAAAAAAAAAAAAGAAAAATGTCCTTGGGTGAGGATAAAAATAAATAAAATAAAATAAAAATAAAAACAGAAACATACACACAAAATAAAAAGACTGAAATACTTTCTTAAAAGTACACTAATCCTTGCACCTGCAGAGAACTGCTGCTGTATAATCACATATTATTTATGGTTCTTGCAAGAGTCTGATTTTGTTTTCTTTTTTCCAGCATCAACTTGCCATCACATGAACCTGTTGAGAGTACTCTGTATATAGCTACTTGTGGTTAGCGGTTTGGAGCTATTGAGTGGGCTACATTTTATGATTCAGTGGCATCAGCTGGACTAATTCAGAATCAAGACTGCAAGAAAGGATCCCCTGATGCTTCAACATAGCTGCCCTCTACCTATGCTCATGAAGAAATAACAACTTTAAAATATTGTTTTCCATGCAAAGATGTTTTTGGTCTCTCAATTATCACTTGGAAATGCCTATTTCACCTGAAAGTATAAAAATAACTACCTCTAGCCCTGGCCGGTTTGGCTCAGCGGTTAGAGCGTCGGCCTGCGGTCCGGAGAGACCCGGGTTCGGTTCCCGCTAGGGGCACGTACCTCGGTTGCAGTTTGTCCCCGGCCCTGGTTGGTCGTGCGGGTGGCAGCCACTCGATGTGTCCCTTTCACATCGATGTTTCCCTCTCTCTCTCTCTTCCTCTCTCTCCCTCCCACTCTATCTGTACAAAAAATGGAAAAATGTCCTCGGGTGAGGATAAAAAAATAAAAAATAAAAAATAACTACCTCTAAATAATTTGCAGCATGAAAAATGTATCCATGTGCTGGAAAAAAAAAAAAGAGAAGTGAGATTTGGTGGTCAGCTTGCTTATAAATGTTGACAATGCTCCTTGGTGTAAACTACCAGCTATTTTCATATCTTCTAACTAAGGTCTCAAGGGTAATTTTTAAAAATATGTACAAGAATAGTCCTCACGCCCAGCCAGTGTGGCTCAGTAGATTAAGCGTCAGCCCATGCACCAAGAGGTCACTGATTTGATTCCTGGTCGTGGTACATGCCCAATTTGCAGTTGACCCCCTGTAGGGGAGGTGCAGGGGCAGCCAAACAATGTTTCTATCTCCCTCTCCCTCCTCTCTCTCTAAAATAAATAAAAACAAAAATAACAGTCCTTACCACCACCACCACTACCCTCCCCCCACCAAAATAGTCCTTCCAGGTCATAAAACTATGTTAATGGAACTAAAATAGTTTATCTGAAGAGTTAAGAAAAGTGCAAATGCTTACCTTTATAGAGAGTTTTTCAGTTTCTTCATTAAACTCAAGGTCACAGAATCAGGAGTCAATTTCCAGCCACTTGCCAACTAAAAAATGATTGGATTTTTTCTCTTCTGAGTTTTTGGAACAGGCAGAGCTATAAGATCTTTACTTCTAATATCTTACAGGCCCCTCACCGCAATCACCACCAAAAAAAAAAAAAAAAAAAGGATAGCAATTACCAGTATCTTAGTAGGGATACAAACTTGAGCACCATCTTTCTCTCTCTCTCTCTCTCTTTTTTTTTAAATCCTCACCCGAGGACATTTTTCCATTTTTTTGTTCAGATAGAGCGGGAGGGAGGGAGAGGAAGAGAGAGAGAGAGAAACATCGATGTGAAGGGACACATCGAGTGGCTGCCACCCGCACAACCAACCAGGGCCGGGGACAAACTGCAACCGAGGTACGTGCCCTTAGCGGGAACAGAACCCAGGTCTCTCTGTACCGCAGGCCGATGCGCCAACCGCTGAGCCAAACCGGCCAGGGCTCTCTCTTTTTTTTTTTAAATCCTCACCCAGAGATATTTTTTCCATTGATTTTTATTTACTTATTTTTAATTAATTAATTTATTTTTGTTACAGATGTTTCTCCTTTTTCCCCCACTGATTCCCCCCTCCCCCCTCCCCACCCTGTCCCCAGCTTGTTGTCCATATACATTGTTCATGCACATATGCATATAAGTTCTGTGTTTATCTCTCCCTTTTCAATTGATTTTTAGATAGAGTGGGAGAGAGAGAGAGAGAGAGAGAAACATCTATGTGAGAAAGAAACAACAATTGGTTGCCGCCCACATTGGGGGCCAGGGATTGAACCTGCAACCCAGGTACATGCCTCTGACTGGGCTCAAACCTGTGACCCATCGGTCCACAGGTCGACACTCTAACAGCTGAACCAAACTGGCCAGGTGAGCACCCATCTCTTAATAAGCAGCCACAAAGAGAATGGCAACAAAGAAGGCACTGAATTTTTGCAACTCTATAGAGACATTTTATTTTCTACTTAGAAGCATTTCCTTTGGAGAACCTCATCTCCCCCATTTTATATTAATTCAACTTAGTCTAGATTGTTCAGTAGGGTAGACTCTGCCTTCCTAAATTGAGCTTATGACCAGGGCCTGGTTTTAGTATTTCATCTACCTAGCCACAATAATTATTTAGGGATAGAAGTGTGGTCCAAGTCACACTAATCAATAAATATCCTCCCTGAGACTTTTTGGTGTTATAAGGAAAGATATACTCTCATTTTCTAGAGAGAAGCATGTAAGGACCATGGTAGTTTGAGACTTCAGGGCTATCTTGCCCCTGAGTGGAGAGAAAATGAGGCCAAGCACAGCTGACAGAATGAAGAAGAGAGAGTCCTGATGATATCTCTAACCTCCTGGATCTAATTCTACCTGTTTCACAGTTACCAAGGCATAAATTAGCCCCTATCCATTTTTTCTTAAACTTGTTTGAGTTAGATTTCTGTTATAACCAAAAGACTCTAATTAATACAACATGCACTTTTATACAGGTAGAAATGCTCCTTCTTGTATTTGAGAATTGCATTATGTTGTGTGAAGTTCTAACACTGTAGATAATGAGCACTAAGAAAGAGAAACTGAAAAAACAATCCCATTTACCACTACAAAAAAAAAAAAAAATTAAGATACCTAGGAATAAACTCAACCAAGGAGGTAAAAGACCTATTCTCAGAAAACTACAGGACATTGAAAAAAGAAATAGAGGAAGACATTAAAAAAGGAAGGATATACCATGTTCATGAATTGAAAGAATCAACATCATTAAAATGACCATACTACCTAAAGCAATATATAGATTTAGTGCAATCCCTATTAAAATACCGACAACATATTTTATGGAACTAGAACAAATACTCCAAAAGTTTATATGGAACCAAAAAAGACCCCAAATAGCCACAACAATCTTGAAAAATAACAAAGTTGGAGGAATCACAATACCAGATATCAAGTTACACTACAAAAACACTGTAATAAAAACAGCCTGGTAATGGCACAATAACAGGCATATAGATCAATGGAACAGAACAGAGAACCCAGAAATCAACCCAAGACAGTATGCTCAATTACTATTTGACAAAGGAGGCATGAGCATACAATGGAGTAAAGACAGTCTCTTCAATAAATGGTATTGGGAAAATTGAACAGGTACATGCAAAAAAATGAAACTAGACCACCCATTTAAACCATACATAAGAATAAACTAAAAATGGATAAAAGACTTAAATATAAATCGTGAAACCATAAAAATCCTAGAAGAAAATGTAGGCAGTAAAATCGCAGACATCACACAAAGCAGAATTTTCACCAATACATTGCCTAAGGCAAGAGAAACAAATGAAAAAATTAATAAATGCGATTACATCAAACTAAAAAGCACAGCAAAAGAAACCAGCATCAAAATGAAAAGGGAACCCAATGCATGGGAAAACATATTTGCCAATGATACATTGGATAAAGGGTTAATTTCCAAAAAATATAAAGTACTCATACAACTCAACAAAAGGAAGACAAACAACCCAATTTAAAAAGTGGGCAGAGGGCCCTGGCCAGTTTGGCTCAGCGGTAGAGCTTTAGCCCACAGACCAATGAGTCGCAGGTTCGATTCCGGCTAAGGGCATGCACCTCAATTGGATTTCATCGCTGGCTCTGGTCGGGGTCGTGCAGGAGGCAACTAGTCGATGTGTCCCTCTCATGCCGATGTTTCTCTCTCTCTCCTTTTCTCTCCCTCCTACTCTGTCTGAAGATAAACAGAAAAATGTCCTCAGGTGAGGATTAAAAAGAAAAATGGGCAGAGGACCTGAATAGACACTTCTCCAAGAAAACATACAAATGGCCAAGAGACATGAAAAAATGCTCAATGTCACTAATCATCAGAGAGATACAAATTAAAACAACTATGAGTTATCACCTCCCACCTTCAAGAACAGCTACTATCAACAAATCATCAAACGACAAGTGATGGCAAGAGTGTGGAGAAAAGGGTACTCTAGTAGAATGCAGACTGGTGCAGCCACTATGGAAAACAATATGGTGTTACCTCAAAAAATTAAATATGGAACTGCCATTTGACCCAGTGATCCCACTTCTAGGAATATATCCTAAGAAGTCTGAAACACCAATCAGAAAGAATTTATGCACCCCTCTGTTCATAGCAGCGCTACTTACAATAGCTAAGATCTGGAAACAGCCCAAGTGTCCATCAGTAGATGAATAGATAAAAAAGCTGTGATACATTTACACAATGGAATATTATGCAGCTATAAGAAAAAAAGATCTCTTACCCTTTGAAATGACATGGAAGGACCTGGAAAATAGTATGCTAAGTGAAATAAGCCAGTCAGAGGAAGATAAGTATCAAATAATCACACTTATTTGTGAATATAATGAGCAAAACAAACTGACGAACAAAATAGAGCCAGAGACATGGAAGTAGGAAACAGACTGACAAACCTCAGAGGGGAAGAAGCGGGGGGGGGGGGGGGGAGATAAACCAAAGAACTGATATGCATATATGCATAACCAATAGACATGGACAACAGCACTGTGAAGGTAGGGGGAGGGAGGTGGGGAAAAGGGTGTCAATAAGGGGAGAAAAGGAGGGACATCTGTAATATTTTCAATGATAAAGATACATTTAAAAAAAAAATAGTCCTGGGTGGTTTGGCTCAGGAGTTAGAGCGTCAGCCCGTGGACCAATGAGTCGTGGGTTCAATTCCGGTCAAGGGCATGTACCTTGGTTGCAGTTCATCCCCAGGCCTGGTTGAGGTCGTTCAGGAGGCAGCCAATGTGTCTCTCTCACATTGATGTTTCTCTCTCTTACCCTCTCTCCCTCTCTCTCCCTCCCTCCACTCTACCTGAAGATAAATAGAAAAGTATCCTTGGGTGAGGATTAAAAAAAAACTGTTTAGCGTTGTCTCTGGTGATTAACTTCTGTCTTTTGTGGTAGAGACAGGAGGGGGACGCCTTTAGAAAAAACAAAAGATAAAAGACTATAAAATAATATATAAGAAATGGATCTTAGACAGGTAATCCAATTAAACTGGGCAAAGGATTTGGATAGTTCTTCAAAGAAGATATACAAATGGCCAATAAGCACATGAAATGATGCTCAACATCATTAGTCAAAAGAAATGCAAATCAAAATCATAAGGAGATACTACTTCATACCCACTAGGATGGCTACAAGAAAAAAGAAAAACAAGTAGTGGAAAAGATGTGAAGAAAATGAAAATCACACATTTCCGGTAGGAATGTAAAGTGGTACAACTGCTGTGGAAAACAATTTGACAGTTCCTCAAAGAGTTAAACATAGTGTGATGTCACAGAAATGGCAGAGCAGAGAGCTCCAAGAATTAGTTCTTCCACTGAAGCTCTCATTAGGCTGGCAAAAACTGATAGAATCAACATTTTTAGAACTTTGAAATCTAATAAAAAAAACTTACGGTGGAGTCCAACCAGTGGTGTGCTTAATGAAAAAAGCAGCAGCTAAACTTCAGTAACAAAGCACTGTGACACTGGTGCTTAATTGTCTACCATCCCCTACCCCCCAAGCTTGGTGGCAGCCTTGGGGACAACAGCCACGTTTCTGGAGGCAATATGCACTTTGTTCTCAAAAGACTGTGATTGAGAATTTTGCCATCTGGTGGTCCCCTGAGGTACCTGATCTTTGTTTTACCCCCTCAGGCTGGAGCAACTTTCCAAGTAGCAACTGTTGAAAGCATTTAAAGACATATGCTATGTGGCTGCATAAAGCAAGGGAATGGGCGGGGGGGGGGGGGGGGGGGGGGGCAGGAGGAGAATGAGGAGGAAGACACATAAGGAAATAAGGACTTTGAAGGCTACCATGTGTATGGGGAAATCTGGCATGCAAAATGCATGCCCAAGGACCAATGCATGTTCAGAAGACTTGAGAGGACTCTAGGCTTATACCTTTGGCTGATGTTTAGGATCCATGCAACCAGGAGGTAAAGGCTAAGGCACCATTTTAGGCAAATTGGCTTAGCACTAAAGTAGTGCTCCAGCTCA